AAAAAAAAAAAAATAAGCTTGTTTTTTTTTTCTTTTTGTTAAACACGACTAGATAGAATTTAGAACAGGATTTTACAAACAACGTGGAACAATATTATAGAGTGAAATAAAAAATATACAACTGGAATGATAACGGATAAAAAGAAAAAAAAAAAAAACTTTCATTATTAAGATGATGCTTCTTGGTGTGAAGAAGATGAATTCGTAGTTTTTATTTCAGAAATAACAGAAGACGAACTTGTTTGAGTAATTGATGATTCAATTGTAGTAGACTAAAAAGAAAAACGAAAACAAATGAAATAGTCTAATGAATAACAATTTAATACGACTATTAATTGCTGTTTGAAAAGTCTGCAAAATTTATTTTATGCTAAAAAATTATTATAAAATAAAATAAGAAAACTCAAACTTAGATTCCAGATATGAAAGTTATTAAAAAAATTTTTAATATTTATGTTTCCGTTTTCTTTTTTGCTAAGTACTTTTTAAAAAGAAATTTGAAAAATTCAACTTGTCAATTAATACTCATTCAACCTTGATGAGTAGACTTTAAGGATTCTATAAGTCAAAAATAAATAGCTCTTATATAAAAAAATCTGAAAACCTTAAGCAAAAAAAAAAAAAGAAATCAGTCAATTCTATAAATCTTATTTAGACATTATTAGTAACAAAAAAATGACATGAGTCCAAAACCTTTCAAGCTTATTTAATTGTTGCATGCTATGAGTTTCATTCAAACAGATAATACAATTAAATCTACTTCGATGAACATTCACACGACAAGATAAAAAAGTAAAGAAGTTATTTTATATACTCTCATGAAGTTTGTTTTTCTTTTTTTGTACTAACATGCTTATTTTCGGATGGTTGAGTAGATATAGAACAATGCTTTTAAGTAATATAACATACAATCGTTACATAATTATATCGGGTCATAGACTCCAAAACACTAAATACGATAGTAAGGAGACATCAATAGAATCAATTAGAGTCTATGACGAACGGTATGTAGCATATATAGATTCTATGCCAATATAGAGACATAATTAAGCTGTTTTCGGTAATCATATTGTTATTTACTGTTTGAACTCATATTATATCCACAAGAGGTTCTGACAGTTTCAAGTGAAAAGAACGTTCTTTTATCGAGATATTGAATTTCCATAAAATAGTCGATGACCACAATAATTTAATTTATCTATGGAGAAAATTTTATATCGAAAATTCAGTAAAAAAGACTATAGCTCGACTTTAGAGACCGAACTCTTTCATTCATTCAACAATCTATGAAAATAATTAATTGAAAATATACCTCTGGTATAGTTGTTGATATTGGTTTATTTTTATGCATATTTTCATGTACAGCAAGAATTTCTTTCAAACCTCTATTTTCAAGTAAGAGTGCACTTATTCGTTCTTCTTGTGCTGCATTATTTGTATCATCAATATCAATTGCACGTTGCATAATTAATGCCATTTCTTGAATTTTTGATGCTTTTTCTTGAATTTCCTAAATTTGAAATTATAGAAAAATTTTATTTGATTTTTAAAAGAAAACTATATTTTCCTCTTCTGATTATCTGTATTATCAATCTAGATATTTTCAATAAGCACTAATTACTATTGTATTATTTTATAACTTGTCTTTACTCAAGTATCAATAAAATTGATTTCAACTTTATTATAATAATTATTTGTAAGATACATAAATAAAAGTGCTTAAAAACAAAAACAACTATACAATTTCGTTTATCTTGAGTTTGTCTCATTTTAGGTCTATTAAATATACCTTTTCATCATATCGACTTTTTTTTTTGCTCAAGGCTAATCGTGATCACTCATGCAATTTAATAATATCTTAATGTAAAAAAAAATCCGTATTCAGTTCTTTTCTTATATATAAATACTACCTACGTAGTGATTAACGACTAGATATTGTTACTGATATAAACTATAGAACAATATTAACTTAAGTAATTTCTATTATATATAATCTATTAGTTGAATATTAATATTTGATTAATTACCTGTGCTAATCCAGCATTAAATAATTGAACAGCTATTTTTTCTTTTTCTTCCATTAATTTAAGTTGTTGCACATGTTGTCGATATTTATACATAATTTTTTCTAATACACTTCGATGTTCAGTTACTAATTGTTTAAGTTCTTCATTCTCTTTTTGTAATTGTCTAATTGAAAATGAAAAACAAAAATTTAACATACAAATATTCTTCTATTTTGAAGAAAAAAAGATAATTTACTTAATCAGACGATTTTCTTTTTGAATATTATAAAGTATATCTATTTTTGGACGATGTGAACTAATATCATTCAATTCAGCAAGATCATCACCATACTTTAAGAATAATAAAATATTTGTTTTTGTTTTTTATTACAAAAATAAATGAAAAAATTCACACCTGTTTCATACTAAGAATTCGTTCTTGAACATATTGTGCTTGACTTACAGCTGTATCAGCTGTGGCATCATCACGACGTAAACGTGATACAAGTTCACGTGCATTTGTTAAGATTGTATCAAGTGATAAATTCATAATGTGTATAATAAAGAATAATGAAAACAAAAGAATATTGATGTGTGAAAAAGATAATTTTTTTTTCACTTGAGATAGAAAAAACAATTTTGTTTGTTATAGAATAAATCAATAATCAACCAATCAGACGATTTTTGTGGTTAAATTAATATCCAATTGTATTATCTTTGAGACTTTTTTTCTTATAAATTTTTGGTATTGTATATTCCATATTATTGATGATGATGATGATCAAGGAGAAAAATATCGATACTTCATTTGTTCCTATGTGCTACTTAGATGTCGCTAATAACATATAAGAGATTTCAAGGCATATTTGTTAATCAATGTACAGATAGTAATGATGTGACTAGAATCGACTAAGCTTCTCTTGCCAATGATTGAGTTTTCACTCATAAAGGACCTGATTTACCTCCTGAAAATGTTACCAGGAGATTTCCGTCTCGTCTATAGACATATGGCCAGGAGAGATTTTGGATAAAAAAGAAAATTGACGGCCTAAAAAAAAAAATTTATTGTTTCTGAAAAGCAAAACTGCTAAGATTTATCGTTATTATTTATATAAGATGATGTCTAGAGCTCATTCTGTAGATCTTTCAACATGGTTTTATTGCTAGAAGTCATGTCAAAGATTTGTATGAAGTCTATATATGATTCGACACTTGTTTGGTATTAAATTTTTTTTTAACTAATACATTCGAGCTTAACTTTTTATCGAGTAGAGTTCACAGTGAATGAAGGAAGGCAATTGTCGAGAGATTGATCTTTTCTATTAAAAACATGTTTATCAGTTTTTACAACAGAAATAAACAAGACCGAGCTGAGATTATATAAATAAAGTTCATACTGCACTATTTCATTAGTTTCTATAATGTTCATTAGTTGTCCGACCGGACAATGTAATACTCTGTAATCGTAGAAAATTTGTATTTTTTTCAGTAAAGGTGAAATTTTGTTTCTAAATTCTGTTAGAAGAAAGCTATTTTTTCTTTTTATAAGGAAAAAACCAGCACTCGCTTCCGGATGCTGACTACTTCGAATCATCACTAATAATATCATTCATGAATTCATTAGAATACTCTCGATAGTTATCTTTCATTATAGCTCTAATGTCCTATAATTGAAGATAGTATTCATATTTAGAAGGATTTCCACTGAATCTTAACAATTTTGTCATGTAGAGAAAAAAAAAAACTAACAACTATTGTAAGCGCCTTGACCTTGTTTTTTTCATTATTTAACCAGATGAATAAATAAACATATATTATTAAAATACCTGTTCTTACTAAGAATACAATAAGAAACCTGTCAAAAAAAAAGAGCTAAAATATGATAAAATGAGATACAATCAAAATATTAATCGCGTCATTCTTTGTCATGCATTTATCACAATGGATGCTCTCATACAAAAGTTCGACAGATGGTTTTGTCATGCATCAAATAATACTCATTAAAATAAAGTATTTTCATCAATAATTTGCATTGTTTAGTATCCAGGTCAAACTTTTTTTCATGTGTTTGTCATGCCTAGGCCTCACGATGTGTCCACATCATATGATTTGTTATCCTATAGAAAAGCACTTGAATATTTTCATCAATTATATGTACATTTAAAATAGGTCATATGCGTTGAACTCATGAAAATCGTAGAAATAAACACACTTGAAACAGTCAATTGGAATAAAAGATTTTCTGTTCACGATGAAAAGAATGTACACTTTATCATTGAATATGCTTAAGTCTACGATCGATATCAAAATATAATATGTTCTACATTTTTTTTTTAATAACTTTTGATACGAATGTTCGAGAGATCTTCGGTTTTCACCATTCAAGAGAGAAGACCTATAGTCATTGAAATATATCAAAATTTGACTAGTTTACAATTGACCAATCAGGTGAGTTCTTGCTACAGATTTTCTAAAACAATATTCCGAAGCTATTTTCCTTTCAATTTATGATAAATCGACGCTCCTAGTTTATTTCATTCGAGAGTTAGAAGACTTTTTACTGAGACATTCGATTTCAGCCAACTAATCTACGGATCATTTGGAAAAGCATCTAGGCAGGAGTAATTCAATATGGTAATATTTGTTTGTAAATTTGAAATTATGTAATTCTATGATCTCGATGTTTCTGAAATGTTGACTGCTTGATTACATAGAAGTTGATTGTAAAATTTCAAACAAGTACAAAGATAATCGAATAAAATTTATAAACAGAAGAAAAAAAATTTAAAATAACACTTTTATTTTTATTTTGTTCAATAATTACAATCAAGTGGATAAAGAATTGCATTCACATTCTCTAAATCAATGCACAAATTTAATTAAACATAGAAATTAAAGGAAATTTATCCGATCTAATTTCTCATGGACATCATGAATATAAAGATTTAAAAAAAAAAACAATTAGAAAAACAAAGCGAACAAAAGAAAGACGTTTTATTTATTTTCATTCACATCTAATGTACGTATTGTTTGATTATCATCATTTTCAGTTTCAGTATGTAAATTTTCTTCGGATTTTTTCAATTTTTCATTGTCACAAAAGAAAGGTGGATGTGTCTGAAAGAAAATTAAGAAAAGTTTTTTTTCATTAATATAATTACGTAAGAAAACAAATTCTTATTTTATTTCTTTACTCGATCACTATTTGGTGAAAGAATTTGAACATTAACATTTTCTAAAAGATATGGTTGTTCAAGAAGATTGACAGGTTGTTCATGCCATTCACGTAAACTTTTCGGTCCTCTAATCAATTGTGAATTACCTATTAGACGAAAACAAAAACATAAGTATTTATAAAATTGAATCGTATTTTTTCTTTTAATTTTCAAACCTCTTCGTGATTTTTCTTTTACATCTGACATAGATGTACGACGACTTGCTGATGCTATTGATGAACTAATACCCATATGTGATGATTGATCTGAATGAGTACGAGATAAAGAATAACTTCGAATATGTTCAATATTGCTAAACGTTGGAGATGAAGCTGATGTTGAATTTGAGGTAACTGTACGGTTACGAATCGGAATATTTTGACTAACTGGTTGTCGTTTTGAGCCCGAAATTAATGCTGCTCGACCTTGAATAAATAACAGAAAAATAAATAAGATGTCATTTATAAAATTTTATCTATTCATTCTATTCTATTATGATATTTTACATGCGATGTCTAATTTGAAAATTCATAAGAATGTCTTTCAATCTAAAAGATTTCTTCAGAAATTATTATGAGTATTTAGAGTTCTCTAGCGAAAAGGTCAATACGATATTCATAGGAAAATTAAAAGCTTATTAGCCTAATCCTACTGAGACTGAAATATGGAACTAATATGTATTCTTTAGCTTCATTATTCTAATACAAAATACGCAAAGTGTAAAGCTGTTCACTTGATATAGTTAGAACTTAAATAGTACAAGCATTTGTGTTGGTCATATGACAGTTGCGGATCGTTTTCTGCGCAATAATCAGAAACTTCATTATTTAGAAAATTAAAATTTCAGAGAATATTCTAAAGCCTTGTTATTAATATTATTCAGCGCCTTTAATCTCGGTTGCTAAGGTCTGTGATGCAGAACTACAAAGCGTCAACTTAAAAGTTACAATTATTATTTCCTATGAAAATCTTGTCAAGATCTACAAAAGTGCTATTGTGATTACCAATCCCTTATCATAGCCCAATGTGTAGCTAGCAGATCACTTGATAAAGCTCTAGATAAATTTTTAATTTGTGCATAATAACGGAAGAGCTGAAAGTTTTGCGACAATATATCCCTTCATTTTTCTATCGATTGAGACAATCTCTAGAAAGTATAAAATATTGATTTTAAAATCAATATTTTGTGTAAAAAATTGTACAAAATAGAAGTAAAATTTCTTGCACTATATCGAAAATCGGTTTGAAGACATCAAGTATGGAAAAAAAAAGATAATTCAGTAACATGCCTGGATGATTTGGTAATGCTGGTATTGAAAATCCTACAAAAAAGAAAAAAAAAAACATCATTATATCTTTACATATGTTTATAAGCGACGGGTCACCTAGTATTATTAATTGTCATATACAGAACACAAAGAAAATTCTTTTTTTCATAGACAAACTTAGATGACAGTTACTTTACATCGTCTGGCGATTTTAATAGTGCTTATTCTATTAAAATATCATCTGGCTCGTCACACTTATCGTCATGCATAAAGATAGTAGATGTGAGACGTGTGTGCGTGAATAAATGCATAGATTCATATATATATATATATATATCTACGATACAGATTAATCAATCGATAAGTGATGATGTGAGATCGTGAGACATTAGTTGTCTGTTCTTGTTCTATACTTGTGACAAATCAATTTTGTGATACAACAATTAATATCAATGAAAATCTTTATTGCTATTTTGTTAAATTTATTTATTTTAAAATGTTATTCTTCAAATTCTTCTTGTTTACCATGTACATCAATAGTATATCGTTCATGTTATAATTGTTTTAATAAAGTTTCAATTGAACATATATATGTTGAAAAATTGTCTATTATATGTAATTTAACAAATAATAATAATATTTTTCAAGAACAAGAACGTTTTTATTCCATTATTAAATCTTTTACAATAAAAAATTGTACTATGAAAACATTATATTTTGATCAATATACATTATGGAATTATCTTGAATATATGTCAATTACATATGCACATCTTATACGTCTATCGCCTGTCATATTTAATCGATCATTATCAATTTCACCGATTTTATATAGTATAAAAACTTTGAATCTTTCACATAATTCAATACGTATAATAGATACGAATTTTTCATATTATTTTCCATCATTAGAAAAACTTGATTTAAGTTATAATCGTCTTATTCTTATTAGAAAAAAAGCATTTATTAATTTAATAAATTTACAAGAACTTTATTTAAATAATAATTATTTAAAACAAATTTTATCAACTATTTTTCCACGTCAATCATTACGTTTAATTAATTTAAATTATAATCATTGGCATTGTTCATGTACAAATGTATTAATACTTTCTATTAGTCGACCAATACCAAATTGTCAAACACCAATTCAATATAAAAATCAAAATGCAGATGATATTTCACGACAATGTTTTTTTCGTTCAAAAGCAATTATATTAATTACAACAGATATTTATAATGAACAAAATTTAACATGTGCATTATCATCTACTATTGATATATGGAAAAATAAAACAAATAAAAATATTACTCTATTATCTGCTTGGCATATTGAACAACGTCATCCAATTGCAATAGAACATTTGTATGCTTTAAGTAAAGAATTCGAAAAATATCTAATCTGTTTCAATTTAAATTCTTCTCAATCTGAATCAATCTATACAATAATTCCTCTTACATTGAAATCGTCATTATTAAATGATACAAATCAAAGTCAAAATCTTTCAATGAATATAACAACAAATCGAACAATAATTATTGTTCAATCTGAAAAAAAACTTCCCGAATTTTTTCGTTGGTTATTAAATACAAGTAAAAATATTCTACCAAAATATTTTCGAACATCTGATAAACAAGTTTTAATTGTTTGGTTAATACTTCTTGCAATAGTATTTTTAATATTATCATTTCTCATTTATTTTATTTATCGTCAACGTCAAAAATCAGACAATATTCAAATAAATTCCTTTTCTCAACGATTTATTCGTTATGATAAAAATTCTCTAGGTCATCGAACAATATTTAATCTAAAATTTAATTGTAAAAATCATAAATGTTTATGTCAATATCGTCGACGTGCACATTCAACAATGTATTTATCTAAATCAACAACATCAAAATCCATTACATTATCAAATATTGAATCCAATGATAATATTCAACCATTACTAATTAAACCGACAGAATTACGTTATGCAAAAATAAAACGTATATCATCAATAAAAGAATTAAATAATGATTATTTAACTGGACAATTTCGAACTACAGTTAAATTAAAATCTTTACCTAATTGATATTGTGTATAAGTTGTAGCTGTAAAATTTTTTGGTTGATTTATTGTGTTTATTGGTGTTGTTTCTATTTCGAGTATAGATGCAATTTTTAATAATTTTATTTGACGAGCTCTTTCAAAATAAATAAAATAAAATAGATAATTATTGTTTTCAAAAAGATTAATACCTTTGACGACCTTTGATTAAATTTTGTTTAGCTGTCATACAACGAATATGATCATCAAATGTAAATTTTGCATTAAGAATTGGTGGACTTGTTTTAACATAAATATTATTGACTGGTTTATGAATTGTTATATGCAAAGAACGACTATCTTCTTTATCATTTGCAACTTCAACATCCTTAAAATATAGATATTGATTATCTTACATTATAATCATATCAAGAAAAAAAAAACAAACAAGATTTTAGAGAAATATATGAACTTGTATAAACATAAACAGTTAATGTTTACTTTTCCGATTGTGTAATTAGACAAATATTTGTCAGTTTTTGCTGATATTTTTAATAAAATACGAGTTGAATTTATGATTATAAGACTACCGGTGATAGATTATTGAATAACCATGGCTCAGTTTTAAGGCCCCCCTCCTCAAAAAAATTCACTTTTGGTCAGAAGTATTGAAACTGAGATAAATACATAGGGAGATAGCCCGTGATCTGCTCTTTCAGAAATGACAAAAATTTTATTTCAGTAGTTCTGTTTTTCCGAAAAATTTTCAAAATTTTCGTCATCCCCTATTCGAAAAAAAAAAACTTTTTTTAGAACACACCTCTCCCTTTCGGCTCACAGAATCAATTTCGTCATAATGGTCGAAATTGAAATAAATACATGGGAAGATAGACCTTGATCTGCTCTTTCAGGAACGAAAAAAATTTTCTTCAGTACTT